ATCAGTTTTTGACGCGTAACGTGCATCATGGGACAAATTTTTATATGTACTTTTCTTACTATTTGTATTTATATTTTGCCTTCGACAAAAAGATAAAACACAATACTAATAAATCGAAATTAAAGCAATTAAGGTTCTCTTCCTCGAATAGAAATCTTCCATTCGTATCGCGCATTGTGCAGACCCTCATTCGAAACTCCCTGTACAGTGAGGATTATTGTTCTTTAAACAACGATAGTACAATCAAGCAACAATCTCGTTTCAGTGACCCGTACGATCGCTTCCCACGACACTTTTATCCGGCGCCAATTAAATCGCGAGCAACAATTAACGCTGTAACAATTAGCATCGCGTTTTCCGCGACACATTCGCCTTCTCTTTCCCTCCGGTTTTCATTGTATTGTACAACGCTCTTTTGTGCTCTTTATTCGATTATCACGCTAATCAAATTTCTGCCACGCATCGTTTCGTAACCGGGCGCGATTGTACCGCATTGCCGTCGCGTGCATCGACAATTGTACCGCTATATCTGTTTGCATTCGCCGTGGTGCAGAGCGGCGCGAGGAGTCCGAGGAGGCCGCGAGGCCCAATCTCCTGTGTGTGTTCTTCGCCTCGCCGATGTCGGGCCAGTCGGTCAGTCGGTGAGTATTGGTGAGTATACTATTAGCGTAATTTCTCAGGCCGGCCGACGGCGACGGATCCCGCGATATGCCATCTCGCATCTCGTGACAAGATGCGGCAAAGGTGTAGACGCAGAGGGCCAACGTAGAGACCCTCCAGGGAGAGACTGACCAAAAGGCGAATTGTTTTTGTTTTTATTTGCATTCAAACCGGAAACAAAAAAGACGGAGATATTAATATGAAAGTGTAGGGAGGAGGACAGGATCTCTACTATTTCCTGTTTGCATGCAAATGGCGGCGAATTAACCAGTCTCTCTTTGGAGGGTCTCTAGGGCCGATTGAGCTATGCATAAATCGTGGATCATACGAGCCGAGAAATCCCATGCCGCGCCCGAATGTAGAAAGTAGCCTCCTTTACATCCCGCTCCTACGCGTCGCAATCACGCTCTACGATCGATGGGTTGAATTAGCGGAACGACTAAGGAAGAGATCGCGTGTGAAAATCTCGTATAGGAACGCGCGATTTGTTGCGGCTCTTGTCATAACATTCGGTGAAACGTGACGCGTTTAAAGGAAATTTGTTTCTAGAAAGAGAAAACGTTGGGAATTATTTACCGGAGTACATTTACATTCACGATCCTTCAAGTTCCATCGCGTTCGATGTATGTGTTATAGTCAAAGCCCGAAACGCAGGCATTCCTAGGATTGACTAGTCAATCCTGGGGAACGACCAAGCGTCAAAGCCCGAAATAAGTTTTGCGTTTCGGCTTTTAACTAGTCAATCCTAGGAATAACTAATACGGCTGGTTAAAGTTAGAAACTAAAGAAAAATCACTTCGGCATTTGACGAATGCCTGTGTTTCGGGCTTTGACTATAACATATGTTAAAAGTAAATGGATACATGAATAAACGTGCAATTAAAAGGATCATTAAATTGCTCTGTATAATACGTCACGTATGATACGTCACATTAACTTCTAACGGTCAAAGCTAAAAATTACCAAATTGTAAACTTATCCTCTACTACTACGTTTACGCGAGCGTTACTTTTGTAGTAACTTACGATAATTTACTCTGCATAAACGAGTGATATATCGTAAGTTACTACAGAAGTAACGCTCGCGTAAACGTAGTATACGTCTACGTCGTCATTCGCAATCGCATCGATGCTATACTTTGTGCGACGATACTCGATAAATAGTAACTGCTATATTCATATCGCTGTTACTACGTTTATAATTATATATAGTGTATTCGCTCATAGACAAATAAATAGCCGTGAATTCTAATTGTAAGTGTTACACTCGGCTTTATGGTACCGCTGAGAGACTAAAATTGCAGGAACAACTTGTGTAACCTGTTGCACTTTGACCTCTCTTTAAACTTTCGTTTATCTACCTACGCTACGTCCCGATTTCGTCGTAAATGTTTTTTTTAATGCAAAATCAATCTAGAGGGAGATTTAGAGAAAGATCTAGACGGAGATGTATATTTATTTATTTTTAATGTAAAGGGGATTATTAAATCCTTTCGATACATCGCATCGCTACCGTATTTCTTCAATTTAAAACAAATTTTGTCATATTTAAGAAATTTATTTAAAATATATTTTAAATATTGCATATAAGAGATAATATATGAGATAAACATAAGAAATGTATAACATACATATTTAGAATATTGATAACTGCATAATTTGTTAACATGTAAAATTATATTTGTGCGGAAAATAAGATTGACATCAAACTGGACGCATTCGCAATTATATATGAAACGTTTTATTAATCTTACAATTAACGTCATAAATCCGTAAATAATACTTCAACAACATTAAATTATAACATTAATGACAACGTCGTAACACGTTACTTGATTCTTCCATCGTTGCAAAGTATTCGGTTCGATAAACATTACGACGTTACAGCGTCGATTCCGCGCGAGGCATTCAGCCTGAAAAAAAAATCCAGAATACACGCGTCGCCTTCGTATTTGTGTTTCGCTTTTTGCTTCCTCATAGAGGAAGCTTTGTTTTCGTAAACCTCGTATATGGACCTTTAATCGCGTATAAAAATAGGTCAACCAAATTTTAAAGAAATATATTAAATAGGAGTAGAAAAGGCCGAAGAAAACAACGTTTTTTTAGTTTTCTATGCCCATGTGTTCAGAATGTCCTAAAACGTCGAAAAATACACTTTTTTTAATGTCTGTGTACGTACATCTTGTATAACGTATGTACATCTTGTAAATGGTGTGGTTGTTCTAACTTCCGCAAAGTTTGAGATATCGGGCTAAGTTTTTTTTTAAATCGACAGAGTATCATTAAAGGAAGGTTGGTATTGAATTTGGCGATGACCGGTAAAGGGGTTCTTTCTTTGTAAAATTTTGAATTTTTTGAGAAATGTACGTGATTGCTCTAACTTCCGCCAATTTTTTAGATATCAGGCTATTTCTAATTCTATTACTTATATTCCTCAGTTTTTTCTACCCCTATTTCATATAACTTCTTTAAGATTTGGTTGATTAGACCCAGCTTTGTACGCGATCATATGTCTATAATTTTTTGAGAAATGACTCTTATCTAACATATTAACTGAACAAAAATACATTAAAAAGCGATACCCTAATTTGATCTAGAATAATGTAATATTTGACCCAGAAGAGAATGGAGTCCGTAAAATTTTTGTGAAAATTATATAAAAATAAAAAAGTGCACATTTTTAATTTGCACACTTTTTTTAATTTAGAGCGCGGAAGAAGGCTATTTAAAAAGGATTAAAGATCAACGCGGGGTTAATGGAAAAATCCTAACGATCTCTCTCATTCTCCTCCTCCGACGAAAGTGTAACAGCACAGAGATTCGCTAGGCTAAAGAGACTAGATGGTAGTACGACTACGGGAATCGGCGGAGGCACACTCTTCGACTCGAGCACACAATCCACGCTCCCGATGGACTTTCTCGGGGTCACGGAGTTGAACCGAGTGGTGTATCTAAAATCGCGGTGCACCTAAGAATGTCGGCAAAAGGTGGAAGGAGCTGTTGTGTAGAGGGAAACGACCTTGATAAGAACAGCTAGTACTTTGTTGGTCTCTCGTCGCCGAAGTGCATCCTTGTTGCGTGGAATGAAACTTTAAAATAAACCGCGGAGCAGTTTAGACGAAATTCCAGAATTCCAAAGAGCGTTTTCGGAACAAACTACGTGTTTACGATCGAGCGAGGAACGCGAATAATCGAGTGACGCGATAACAAAGGGGTTTTCCGGGAGCTCAAGAATTTTTACATGCGATTTATTCGTAAAACAACACCGTATAATAACATAAGCCGCATCAAATCCCGTAAACGTGTGACGGAAACTTATTTTTCGAAGCGACTCATCAATTTCTAAGTCGCAGCGAGGCGGCGTGTACATACGCGGTGAAACAGAAAAACTAGCTACATTATTGAATCCCGGATTCAATACAAAGCCCACGCGACTCGACGCGAGAAAAACGTCCTTTTATTTGTGCCGGGAGTGGCCGTCCGGTGACCTTATTCGAATAACTATGATCAGTTCGTGTTTTCGGTCTACATCATCTCACCGGGAAGACACTGTTGGCAAAGAGACTACGTTGTGGGTGTGTTAATTGTTTCATCGGCGATCGAGACTGTCGGCACGCGACGGTGATAATAGTGCTGGTAATTCGCAGTCACTCAAATTGCACGGGTTACATCATAAAGCGCGCGCGCGCGAATCCGGTTAATCAACAGCCACGGCGCCGGCGAAAACGGAGGAGCTGTGTAATCGGATGCCTGTTGCTGTTGTTGCTGCTACTGTTGCTGTTGTTGCAGTTTCCCCAATGCGGCGACACGTGCGGAGCAGTGCTATTACGCCGGATGTCTCGAGAATGATTCGCAGGTGACACAAAGGGTCGAGCCCGATCTGCTCGGTGAAAACATCTCGATGTGCCGTGAAAGGTTCGATGTCGCACGTAGCCGCGATCCGCCACGGGTGATTCGATCGTCTCGTCGGTGCGAAAAGATTTTGCGCGTTCTCCTGCTGTTCGTAACGCTGCTCAGCTACGACGTCCGAGGTGAGCGCTACACTGCTCGACAAGATTTACTTTTTTTCCCATTGCTAGTGGCGAGCGCACTTTGCAAAAAACAGTGTTGGGCATCAATCAATTAAAGCTTTAATCAATTAATCAATTCATTGAATATTTAATTGCAATTAACTTAGTTCGTTAAGTATGTGTATTAATTACGTAAAGATTTAATTTCTTTCAATTATTTAACAATCACATTACATTAATAAAAAATTACAAATCAGAATTATTACATGCTATTTTATTGGAACTTACTTCTTTGCTTCTTTTCTTGTTTGCCATCTTATTCTATAAAAAAAAAACATTCTCACAAGGACGTATGTACAAACAACCAGAGAGAATAATATCTAGCCTTTAAAATAAGTAACACATTAAATCATCATCACGATAAAAATTAATTGTTAATTGTACCTACAATTAAAATTAATAAGTAATTAAATTATTTTGAGTATTATTTTGCGGAAGTTAATATGTTCAGAGTATTCTAAAATGTCGAAATATTGCGTTAAAATCGCATGTCCGTACGTATAATATATATGTGTATGTGCAGATTTGATGTCCGTGTTTACTGTAACTTCCGCAAATTTGAAGATATCGATCTATTTCTAATTTTATTATATTTCTCAGTTTTTTCTACCCCTATTTCATATATAATTTTTTAAGATTTGGTTGATTAGACCCAGCTTTATACGCGATCAAAGATCCATAATTTTGATCGCATATAAAGCTAAGTCTAATCAACCGAATTTAAAAGAATTATATACGAAATAGGGGTAGAAAAGTCTGAAAAATATAATAAAATTAAAAATAGATAGATATCTCCAAATTTGCGGAAGTTAATATGTTCAGAGTATTCTAAAATGTCGAAACATTGCATTAAAATCGCATGCCCGTACGTATATATGTGTATGTGCAGATTTGATGTCCGTGTTTACTGTAACTTCCGCAAATTTGAAGATATCGATCTATTTCTAATTTTATTATATTTCTCAGTCTTTTCTACCCCTATTTCATATATAATTTTTTAAGATTTGGTTGATTAGACCCAGCTTTATACGCGATCAAAGATCCATAATTTTGATCGCATATAAAGCTAAGATACATTATGCTTCATACATTATGCTTTCTGTTAATTAAATTTTATTTTTGAAAATCGAATATTTGCGATTAAATCCCATTTGATGGACTATTGAAGCTGATTTCCACGCTTCCTTCGTTCGCGGTTAATTCAAGAGAGAAAATCAAATTTTTACGTGGAAACCGCGAACGAAAAGGAATTACAGAGACCATATACCACTGTGCCGGCGACTAATTAACGTTGCGAAGCAACGTTATGACGCCAATCACTGATTGTTACCACGGAACTGTTAAAAGCAACGATTCAATTATGCCATTTCATTTCACGATCTCAATTTACTTTTCGTTGAGCAATTCCGACCGCAAGAGAGATAAACAATAAAATAATGTATAATCTCTCGATTTTCCTCTGCAAGACACGTCGACCGTAACAAGTGCGTTACAGTTACAGTACAGTAATTCGTTATAGTAACCTACGATATTTCCATGGAAAACATTTTACAATTTATTTTATTTATTGCAACAATTCTGGGCACGTATTATGAAACTTTTTGGAACGGATTCCGATCGGAATTGTTTAGTTATTTCTATTTGTCTAGATTTATATTTGTTTTTTAGGGAAAACAAAATAATTCTGATCAGAATCCATTCCGAAAAGTTCCATAATACCTACGTGTCCTGATTTTAAATTCATTGAGATTTGAATTCTGTTCTCTCTTTCTTCTTTTTGAAACATTTATCCTGTAACGTTGCTCAATGCATTTGAAGTTTACATTTGCCTGTTAATTTACCTTTCACGATTATTGAATTTTTCACTTAGGACAAGTGAAACAGCAAAATTCGATCAAAACTGATGTTGTGAACCTAAGCGAGGGATTGCACGTATTAATGAGAATTATGCAACCGTGAGATTAAAATTAAGATTAAAAGTCAACTTAATTTGTAGTTACGAGCACAATTATGACGCTTCTCTTACCACACACGTTATGACGCGCGTCAAACATGCGTTTCCATAAGTTACCCCAATCAAAATGCATGCTTTTTTCAAACGCGCGCGTTTGACGCGCAATTTTACGCACGGCAACGCGTACAAGGGAACCAGGGATAACTGTAAAAATAATTGCGTAAATATGTCAAAAGATAATAAAATGACTATTGAATAACTAATGATAATTAAGATACTTTTTTTCCCCTCGTAAAAAAGATATACATAATTTTATCAAATATAAAAATGCGAAGGTTATCGGTATCTTTTAACAAATAAGTCAAAAATTCACTTTTTTCCTTCGAGTTTACGGGACGCATTAAAATAATCTCAGCGCAATAAAATTCACGAGATATTCTGGATATCTTACCGAAGTGGTAGAAAGGATAATCTAAAAAGTGAAATTAGGAAAAATAACTCCCATATTTCAATCGTACAATCGTTCGGTAAAGAGTGGATGCCCCTTGTATAATTCCCTCGGAGTTTATGGAAAATCGTCGAAAAACCGTTAAAACGGCCACAAGTAGGATAAATGAGAGTAGTTTTACGCTAAGCGAGTCTAGATCAAGGTAAAGTTGACTATTTCTGATGATTGGGAGAAAGATCGTACAACGTATATTATGCGCCAGATACACACACAAGACGGTTCGGGAAATACATTTCAAACTCACCGGTAGAAGTAACCGATGGACGTACTAAAAAAAGAGATCATTCCTCTGGTATTGATAGCATACCCTCCACTTAGCTCTTTTATGTGTAGAAAGTTGCACGATAATTTTTAAGTATTTTATACCATAATAAAAAATTTTAGAAAGTCAGTGATTTTTAATCCGCTAAACTTCCAATAGATAAAGATTGCAGATGCATTTGATGGTGCGATATTAATATAAGTATGACGAATTACGGTTATAACTGTATATATTTTTTATAACTGTATGTAGGTGTCGTGCAATCTTTCTCTTTCTCTCTCGCTAACGCTATTTATTTGATCTATCAGCACTTTGTGGCGCTTGCAGGTAACGGTACACCAGATGTTTATAAGATACTTGGAGGTGCCAGAACGCGCCAGGCGGACTACCATTATCCGTATATGAATAACGATATAAATGAAAATCAAGAGGATCTCTACGTCGGTCACGGCGGCGACCCGTGGAGCGCTTCCTCGGCGCGTATTTACAAGGATGTCCATGTGCGCGTCATATCCTCCAACAACGCGACGGCAAACAACACGAAGCCTCAATCCACGTAAGTAGCGGACCTAACTATAATGGAAACGTTTTATTAATTTGTGACTTGACAATTTGTAATATCGGACTACATAAAGACTACATTACGTAATTTTAGAATGAGTGAAAGAGCGACCACGGGCCATACGAGAATCAAAAGAGGAGTGATACACCTTTACAACATGGTAGTGTGCGCCACGGGATGTAATCCTCTAGCTTACAAGGGATACGGTTGCTACTGCGGATTCTTAGGATCCGGTTACGTCATCGACGGTATCGACCAGTACGTTTGTACATTTTTTAAGCTTATATTATATAGAAAGAAAATGTTATTTACAATCGTTGAATTGCTTTTCACAGAAGACAAATATCAATGGAATGTAATGTTTTCAGGTGTTGCAAGATGCACGACTGGTGCTACGACGCTACGGAATGTCTCATGTTCTCAGAATACTTTGTACCATATTACTGGAGATGTTATCACGGTTACAAACCCGTTTGCGGTTCGTTTTTTTCATCATCATTCATTTTTCTTGCATGCTAACGCACGTTTTCTTGCTAATTCGGAAAATAAAATTAATTTTAATACAATAGCTTTTCTATGAATCAAGCTCGACTTATTTATTTACGCTATACTCTACGTAAATAGCATGACACAGTAAAATAAAACGGTCCGTGAAATCTTCGTTCCAGCGATTGAGCATGGCAGCTGGGGAGGATCGGGATCTTGCGCTCAACGTTTGTGCGAATGCGATCGTTCGTTAGCCGAGTGTTTGAGAAGATATCCTTGCCCTACCACCAAAGCAGTTTGTACCTCGTCACCATGGAGACTCGTGCAGAATCTCTTCATGATTATATAAATCGTGTACTTGAAAAAATAACATAGGCCGCGTTTTAAAACGTGAGAACGTCGTTTTTTATTTTGTAACATTTGACTTTTGAGATAAAATATTTCATATCTAATTTGACTTGTACATATCATATGTCAAAAAAACAATTTTCAAAGGCCGGTAATTCGGATACCAAAGAAAGTACCCAAGGAGCGTCAATGTGTCCTAACGTGCTTCGTTTTTAAAATACACGGTGTCAAAGACACACATCTCAGGTAGATCTAAAAATGTTTCGCCGGGTACTGGAAAGTAATTCTTAATACTACATATACGCATACCAAATTTGAATTGAAAAATATCTTGAAACGTTTTCTAGATTTTCGAAATTTTCATTTTTTTCACAACTTTGACATCCTGTATTTTGAAAACGAAGCAGTTTAGGACACATGTTTATAAGACCTTTTCTTCTTAAAATAAGCCAAGGAATATCCCATTCAAGTTTTCGTACTTATTTAAGAAACACTCTGTATAATTCAACAATTTTTTTTTATTCCGTTGTTTGATCTACAACATATTTACACCTCCGGTTAAATATACCTTTCTATTCTTGTACTTCTTGGAAATATCTTGTTCTATCTGTAATTAGATGTAACGTAAAAAATAACAATTTATTATTCGAAAACGTAACATTGAGAGAACGAAGATAACGTACCTCTGTTTGAAGTTCTTTAGTTCTTTGTACGACGAGTTTTAATAGCGGACGCAATTTATCGATTTGATTCTGCGTGTCATCTTGCTTCTGTCGCATGGATTCTTGCTGGGTTACCATTCTATCGATCAGGTTTAATTTTTGCTTTAAAGTAGCAGCCACTACGTCCACGTACCTGGGATAGAAATATATAAACATTTATAAAAAGATGTATGTATGTACATACGTGGTCTGTTTAAAAAGTAATGAAACTGAATTTTTTTCTCAACAACTGGTAACACTGTAAAAACGAGACTACAGTTGATCGAGAGCTACATTCATACTCTACCTTCAGTTATTTCAGTTATTCATGTTTGATAACATTAACACATGTGACTCTACAATCATTTGTATAACTGTAGCTGCGGTCCACTTGATGCTACAAATGCTTCGAAGCATTCCTCTTCTCCTTTCTTTTAATAAGTCAAGTGGACTACAGCCTACATGTTTGGGTGACGCGTCATGGAACACAAGAAAATCGAGCAGCATTATGCAAAGCATAAGTGATGCAAAGTTTGATACAGCAAATTCTGCGTCAAATTTCAGGATAACGTGACAGAAACATTTAAAAAGTTGACAGTGAGAGTGATTGGTGACTTATTAAAATAAATTTAAATCACCAAATTGTTTATGACATTGATGATTCAGAACAGGATTCATCTTCACAATTTCACCGCCATCTAAAAATACCTTGTGTTCGCGATAGAACTTGATCTTTGTAAGTCTGTTTCAGCTTCTTAAATGCTTCCATCGCATTGTCCTGGAGTTTGACACAGAATTTAGTCGCATACAACTGCTCGAATTTCTTGTGTTCCATTTTCGTGATGCGTCACCCAAACATATAGTTGTACAAATGATTGTAGAGTCACATGTGTTAATGTTATCAAATTAAAATTTTAACTGAAGATAGAGTATGAATGTAGCTCTCGATCTACTGCAGTCTGGTTTTTACGGTGTTACCAGTTGTTATGAAAAAAATTCAGTCTTATGACTTTTTAAACAGACCACGTATTATATTTAATTGTAAATATTGTACCTCGGATAATGTTTGATGTTATGTAAATGGTGGACATTGCTATGCAATATTTCAGAGAGAATAACTTGAATATTATCCAGCATGTTCTGAGTGGTCTCTATGGTAGATAGTTGCAGAATAGATGAAGCGTCCTGCATCTGACTAAAGCTGAGAAGGTTGTTCCTATCGTCGCCTTTGAATTCGTACAGACGTAACTTCATAAATGCCTCCAGCTGTAGAAATATACATTTATATAAAAATGTAGAGCAGTCAATTTCTTACATGCACATTTATAAGTCATACTTCAAACAGCTGATTGATAAATTCGGATCTCGTTGTTGGATTGTCTAATATCGTGTGGGCTTCAGACCCCGTAGCCACACCACCTTCATGACCCGATGCTTCCACAACTATACCCGATTCCTCCAAAGAGATATTACAATATATTTCTGCTGCAGTAGGTTGTTCCGCATTTTCGTCTCCCCAATCAATATCGTCCCCTGTGTCCAAATCAACTTCTTCACCAAAGTCAATCTCTCTCTGCAGATCCAAGTTGCCAAAATCAATGACCTGTTGAGAATGCTCGGGATAATAACGCAATCGAATCTCTATTCTACAAATATCACAAAAAAATTATATAAAAATATTCATACATTAGTATCCAAACTAGACCTTCCATTACTTTCATCTTCATCCGCTTTAATATTCAATGGTGGTTCAATTATCGACGCTGGTACTTCTCCATAAGTATATTCAAACATCGTTGTGTTTCCCTTTTCTTTAAAAATCAAATAATGTATAACAATCTATCATACACACTTCTTATTCAAATATTATGCATTCTTGAAATAATGATTTTGCAAACATACCAATGACATATTTAATTATCGACACGCAATTACTGTCGTACTGCTGGCCGAAAGTAAATTCAACAAATGCGCTGTAAAACTCCACTACCTTGTCCAAACTCTTCGTTTTTTCTGCTACTTTCTGATAAATTTCCGATAACTCTTTCACCTTATCCATTAACTCACGTCTGACTGTACTGTAGCCAGTTATACCTAATTGTTTGCAAAGCGCATTATACTCTGTATGCGCAATATTTTCTGACTTTTTATATTCCGCTTCTTTCTTTTCAAATTCCTGTCAGTGCAGTTTTATATGCGATTTTAGACAATGACAGGATAAGTAAATAGTATTATGATAACATTAGACATATATAAATTGATTTACCGTTAACGATTGTTCTAACTTCTGTATCTGTTTTTTAATACTGGGGACCTCGTAATTGACATTTCTTATGAGAATTTGCGCGGCTTCGGCAAGGTATACATTATCTTTTTCATATAATCGTAAAATCTCCTGCCAATCCTTCATCCTTTGTGAACCGTATCGCCCGAATAAATTTTTCGTGTCCGCTTCTGTTTCCTTCAAGATTTCCACAATTTTGATGCAATAAAAGTAATTTATATCTGTAAAAAGAGGTAAAGCAAAGGCTCGGGAGTTTGCAGCTACGTGCTAAAAATCAGATAGAACCATAACAATTAATACTACTTACAGGCACCAGACAACAATGAGGCAATGCCATCATGAGCAGGCATATTCTGTATTGCATCATTAATTTTCTGCCTAATGGTCAAAATGTTCGTGTGCCAATTCTTATTGCAGTGCCTCCGATTAATCAGCCAATCCAATAATTTTCCAGCATTAATGTCGATCGGGATATCCTGCTCCTAAATAATTATTTGTACGTAAAGATATAATTTAATAAAGCGCAACAATAAAAAAGAAAATAATGCGAAAATAATATCAAAAACGTGTATGTGAAATTCAAGTTTACTCCAGATTATGTCACGGGTAAAATTGTGTATACGCGATTTCATATCTATGTTTAAAATTGATATCGTTGACGTGAGAATAATTGCGTGTTCGAATAACGCGACCACATGCCTGCATGTTGTTAAATTCAACGAATTTCTCGGCAAGAAATCGTATCTCCTTCGCCACAATCCGAGTTGGAGAACAGGTTATAACAGCTGTTATTCTTTTATTAAGCAGGGCACACACACTTTTCGTAGAACGTAACAGTAAGGTTTCGACCAATCGCGTTGCTCGATTCGGCCGTCTGTAACCTTAGAACTCTTAGAAGTAAGGCCCCGGACACACACTTTTTCGTAACAGTAACAGTAGGATTTCGACCAATCGCGTTGCTCGATTCGAAAACGTACGGCCGTACGTTCCCGAATTGAGTAACACGATTGGTCGAAATCCTACTGTTACTGTTACGAAAAAGTGTGTGTGACCAGCTTAAGAATTGAGCAACGCGATTGGTCGAAACCTTACTGTTACGTTCTACGAAAAGTGTGTGTGCCCTGCCTAGGAAACGTAAGGCCGTACCTATAACGTTAGAAAACTTAAAAAAAAAACTTAAAATTAAAAGAAAGACATTCTGGCTGCATTCGAGGAGCGCGCTATTAGCGCTATTGCATCATTCTGTCTTTATCGCTTATCAGATGTAAAACAAGGATAGAATAAGCAAATAGCGCTAATAGCGCGCTCCTCGAATCCAGCCTCTGACGATATCGACGATAGCATTGCGAGCATCGATAGAGATGGCAAACGCATTTATCGACTATGATAAAATCCATTCATTCTTTGTTTCTTAGGCTATTACTATTGGTATTCATAGCTGCATACCCGTCAGTCGCCGCAAATATTGTGCGGAGTAAATTAATTTGAACAATCGGTCAGATGATTATTTCGTAGGATAGAAAAAAAATTTCCATTATCAAACGGCTGACGCGATGGCCAAGGTCCGTCTCCTCGTATAGAGGACTTCGTTTCTAATTTTCCCAAGCCCAGGAACTTGACAGTGAATAAAATTAAATTTACAAATGACTAATGGCATTTGCCTGTTTTGTTGAAATTTATTGTAATTTATTAAAATGACAAATGCAATAGTACGATTTTGTCATTCTCTATACGGAGGCGGTTATACTCCGAAAGTCCGCATGTCCGCTTTCAGCGTACAGGCGCAGGTGTTGAGCTTGACTGTAGTCGGGCACTGTAATATGGCATCCTATTTACCACTTGCGTATACGCTTATCAAATAATGCATACGCGACGGAAAACCACATGTGACATGTGACATCTGCCACGTATAAAACGGGAACATGCGCTCATGACTGTCGTCTGCGTAATAACGCATGGCACTTTCTTACGCTTACAAGGAACTAGCGACGTTCGGAGTAAACAGTCGCATTAAATCGAGGGAAGTAAATAATCAACTGCATTTATTTAAGTAACTTTTCTACCGATACCTAAGATAAATAACGAAAGGCGCGACAAGTAACGAGAGACGGGAATTAATCAGATCGCTCGGCGATACGAGTAGACGTGAGTACACACAAGTATCTTTTTTAATTTATTATGTTACACGTTCACAGTAAGAAAAAAACATTATGTCCCTTTCCATTATACTGTCCCTGTACCAGTATAAGTACAACATGAATGTCCATCGGAAAGGAAAGATGTAAGAGTTCTATCGGTTGCACTCGTCTTTCTGATCATTCCGTGTTGTATCAGCACCCGTGTTAAAATGTTCTCGGCATGATAAAGCCTCGGCAAAAATTAATACCCGCGAACGATACGCGCGTTCATAGGGCGTACGAGGATCTGGATCACTTGGCGCTTCTCACCGGTTCTTTGGATTCTAATCGCAAAATCCTCTCAACAATCCTTTCTCGATTGTCGGAGAAGACTCGCGGCTCAAAGTTCCGCCGGGAAAGCATTACCGGTGGACATTACGATGGCACGAGGACGATTCGATCGGTGATCGTATATCTCGATCGCGAACGAGTTTTTCCTTTTCCGTTACTTCGCTATCACACTAATAACTTTGGGAGGGGCTTCGATCCGTGAAGAAGTTCTTCAGGATGAAAACCTGCCCCACGGCGATGAGCAGGATGCAGACGGTCTCCATTACCGACCACCAGAGCACTCGCTCATTCAGCTCCTCCGCGCGTTTGCGACCTTGAGCTTCCCGCAGACGATGATGTGTCTGATAGTCCAGGATGCTGATTAGATTTTTGTGCACCTCTTGCGCGGAAGACTCCATCTGTAAAAAGAACCAAACCGCGTTAGCAATCACCAATTTTCATTTATGTGCAATGTACTATAAAAGATTCTATCGTGGCATATCACCTGAGTCATGACTGTAACATGTTCTCCGAGACCAGGAAGCGGCAGTTCGTCGCCCACTTGGAAATCCATATACACCAGCTTGTGCGAGTATGTAGAAAACTCATTGCTGAAGCAAGCCTTGTAAATTCCTGACATGGTTGGTATAAAGGAGTGTGAATCAAATTGCGTTTTTACTTGGCTATAGATAATCTCTTTATTTGGAGCTTCTAAAGTCACATCTACATCATACTGGCCACCTGTAACCACCTGAAAAGTATAAAAGTATACTCGTTACAAACAAGTTACTTTAAAATATGCAAAGTTCTTTTTGCCTATAAAGCATCTATAAATCAATGAAAGAACATCTAAACTAAAAGAAAAGTTGCAGTAGCAATAAAAGTAGTACTGCTTTTCACTAATAAATGTTTTCTAGAATGGAACATAGAGCACATATATGTGTTAATTATATTTCTCCTTTTCTCGCTGTAAGATGCGAGTACAAGAACACAGCGCGACTATATAAAACAGACCTATTTATCACATAAAATTTTATACTCTTTGAATACAATTTGAAATAATATTATTCCTATTATCTCTTATGTTGTTAATCGCGTTATTTGCGCCACTTCTCATTCGTCTCATTGAACCTGAAGCTACGCAGGCGGAGTGCGACTGGCGGCATACTGCGCTGGAGTCTGGCCTCGGATATGTCGCGATGCGAGCGATAATAGCAACGTGTCATCGCGACGCGACTCGCGAGCATATGTAGCATTATCGAGGACCAGCGTCCAACGGTGTTACGCACCTGAAACTCCAGCGTAGACGAAACGTTCTTCTCGATCTCCTGGTAAAAACACTCTTTGGCATTGTCGGCTAGCTCGAAGGTTAACTCGACGCCGCCCGTAAGCAGGAGTGCGCCGAGTAGCGAGACGAGCAATAGCCAGACCGACCAGCAATCCATTCTTGGTTGGTTTTTCGTTTGTTCGTCGACGACGCTCACGCGCTGCCGCGTCCGGCGTCACTGATCCGCGCACTGCGCGCACATTTAAGACCAGCCTCGAAACTGAAGAAAATTCGGACGAGAACGCGCGACCGTTTTCTACTTCTTTTCCCGGCGGCACCCCGACGATCTCTCGCAAAAGTCGCAAACGAGCTATTTTAACGTGGCCGGATGTCGCGCGCGCGCGACGTAGCCACGGTTTCGGCGCGCATGGCGCGCAGCTGCGGAAGCGGCTACGTTCACGTCAGAACTGGTGGTAGTGGTGGTGGTGGTGGCGGCGGCACTGGCGGCAGCGGCAGCGAGCAGCAGCGGCGTTGGCGGCAGTTGTGACGGTGGTAGTGGGGGTAGACCATGACACTGCATCACAAGCGCGCAACCGGCGCAACACGAGTTTTCGGGCGGCAGCGTCGCGAGACGGATCTTTTTCTAGCGTTCTTTTCGTCGCCGCTTTTTCTTGTCACCCGTTCGCGAGATATACTGTTTAACGTTTCTGGTGATCGTGGATGGAAGAGTCGCAATTTTTGCGCGTCGATTAACGTTCGCGTGTCGCATTGTGCGTCCGAGTGATAAAGAGGTTATGTTCCGCATCCTCGTGTGCTCCAAGATACCACGCATTATGCGACCTCACCGTGACCCTCGTGATCATCACGGACACCTGTAAGGTAACTATCTCTGAGAACGAAGCACATACCTATGTGTGTATGCGACATGGAGTGTCTCACCGAGAATCTGATCGATACTCGAAATTTATCTAGTGACTCGAATAACGCTGCTCTTAAATTTATAGACATTCGGAAAATTGCAGTGCACTTTTAGTTGATATTAAATGCATTCGTAAATTATAAATTTAATCTCGGCGCTGCACTTTCTTACCACTTTCTACATATTAAATGAGATAGGTGTACGTTCAGAAAGAGGGAGAACGTGCAAGAAAGTACGTATGGAATGTGCTGCTAAGAAGAATAATCGCGAATGTATGCAACATTTAAATCATAATTTCACAAGTAAAAGAGAAAAGAAATCACTACTCTATAATCTTCTTTTTGTTATTGACATATTAAAAATTGCACGAAAAAAATCATACAAAAGGAAATTAAATAAAAATAATAAAAAATGTTAAAGCGCGATATTATATACAGCTTAAAATATTAATTGGCTTTCGCTGATCTTCCGTAGTGTTTTGCATTAGTGAACCGTGGCCTAATCAAACTCCTTGAAATTCGCTATTATTATTGAATCGTCTTTTAAGCGGTTTGCCTTTGTTAGTTTTATTACACTTCGAAAATACATTATTGTGCGAGTAAAAAAATGATTTAAAAAATTAGAAACTTCACGGTGTGTGCCAGTAACGTTTGACTCATTGGAAATACAAATTAGATTAGAATTTATATTTCCTTTCACAAACTCTTAACGTTTATTTTGCGCGTATTGCTTTAATACGATTTGCACAAAATTCATATAAGCTCAAATTTTTCCAAGTCCAATCCAATTATTCGCAGTGAAAGAAGTAGAAAACGGAGTGAACGCGCTAACAATATCCAGCTGTGGTTGGCCGGATGTGTTTCAATAATCCAGCTTTATATAACGTCTTGTCGACGAGAGCGCTTTCGTGCATCGCGACACAGTTGCATTTTGTCCACGACGAGAACTGTCGCGATCTAAATCTGTCCGCTTTATAGCGGCTCTCCATCGTACTTTTTGCATAATGAAATGAAAATAGATAGTATGTTTCGAGTTTATGGGGTAGAAGAGCCGCGAAAGGAACGAAGTGTAACAAGAGAAATCGAATTAAAGTGACTTCTCGATTCGTTCGTACTTTACAGTATTCTTCGATCGCGGTTTCGTTAACGTCAATAATAAAACCTCATTTAAAACTCTCGTAGAAAACTTTTGTCCGCGAAATATCATCCACATACATATGCTTTACCTGGAATAATGCTTCTCGAAACCGCCGGGCAATGCGCTTTTCCTTCAAACGAAACGTAACGGTACGCGCGTTGCGCGTAAACGACGCGGCGAATATGGCAAAATGTAGTGAAAAGTGTATAGGATCGAATTTGTTGATCATTATTTGACCCCATTGCGATCCGCTCGGCCTCGCTGATCGCGAAAAAGACTCTGGGAAATGGGCTACGATGTCGCTGAAAAACACATGTCCATCGCAGTTGTTAACCGTCATCGAGCATCTCGCCAAGGACACGTACGCGAAACGCGAGACTAACGCGCGCGAATCGCATCAGATCTTGCACATTGAGCTCATTAAAAACGGGAACCAAAACCAGATACGTGGGGCGAGAAGTATGAAAATAAAAGAGAGATGCAAATGAGAGGGAGATGAATGTAAATAGAGCAGAAATATATTCCTGGGTGGAAATATATTCTTGCCGAATTAATTAATCCAACGCCAACGTGAAGAGATATTCGCTTGTAAGTTCGGGATGAAGCCAAAAGTTACTGCATGAGAAGTAAGATCAAACAAAAAAAGCGAAGAATTTATCTTAAAAAAATATTGTGTCTAAAGCGTAAAGTTCTTAAGCCTGAAATTTTTTTAAGTCCTTTATCAATATGTAAGCTATTATTAGAGTAGGTCGGAGTTTTTAGATATCTAACAGGATGACTCTTTTTTAAATATAGGTAATGATGATGCTGGTTTCCTAGTCTGATGGTATTCTGTCTTCTTCTAGTATTTTTGTAAATAGCAATGCAAGATTTCTCTGCACAGTTCCATACCACCAGTTTCATATTTATATCATTAATTAATTAATACATAATTTTTGCAAATCTATATAGGTTTAGCTTTGTAAATATATCTCAAAAAATAACAAGAAAATATTCAATCACTATTATATGACTTTATTTAAACATTTTATGCCTTCATTTTTTTCATCGATAAAAACCTATTAAAGATATTCATATTGAAGTTATTTACAACATTTTCACTAAAGAATATGTGAATAGGGTTTTCGAAAGTTTATCCTTAATTTCCTTCGAAGCGATAACTTTGTGGCTCATCTGTTGAAAGACCCTCCGTAATAATAAACAGCCAACATGAAATAATCAAAGTAAAACATTTGCTAACGATGAATGGCACCGAGCGGGAAACTAACAATAAGATTAGAAAAATTCCACGAAAATCGCAATGAGGCGACTGTTAGCGGGTGCCTTACGGCCCGGTCGTAAATAAATGCTCCTCGTGCATTGATAAATTCTACGTAATGTGACAGGCGGCAAGAATAAGTGCGTAAAAGCGGCATCGCAGATTATCTGACCTCGTTGCTCACGTGAGTCGGCATGTATAATATGTTACCGTGATCGATTTTAACGTTTGACAAACGACGATTTAGCTTCCATCGGGATATGACATCGAACGGCCAACAACGACGAGTCAACGGCCTGGCGCATAATTGCTGGCTACTGTCTCCGCGAAGGTATAATTAATGACCTCTCTCTCTAAAGAAAGTTTTCGATAAATTTCAAAAAGAATTCTAGCGATCAGATGCAAAAAAGTAAGGATAAGTTAATCCGATGCTTTCGTTATGTGAATATTGCTGGCAGTTTCTTTTTGTTTCCATCAGAATCGTGATTTAATTTTCAACATGTCAATTTTTGACAGAAATCTTGAGCTATTTGAAACTCATTACTCATCCATCATGGTCTACCGTGGTTCATCCGTGGAATTGTTTGGCGCGAAAGAAGAATAATACGTTTGATACTTTAAAAGCCGGCCGTGGAAGACGTGGATAGTGAAAATCCGTTGTCGCCTCTCTTCCTGTGGTTTTTCCGGCGCGGAAATAAGAGAGGAATCCTTCAAAAGAAGTTTGAAGTCAATTTAGATTCGCGCTCGCGCCCATGCACCTGTTTCTTCTTCCTCTTCGCAGTCCAGAGACTGGTTCCGGATCACGTGCGATGCAGGCGCGTTGCACGCGGTGCCGCTATACGCCTTCATTTTCACGGAGAAGCGCGCGCTTCTGTGGCATTTGTATGGATGCGTGGAATCATTCGTTTATGATATATGGCCGCAATTTGCCGCGGCCGTGAAAGCGCGCACAATTAATATCACGAATTAATATCACGGTGAATTCGTTAAACAAAATCGCGAAATCATGGCCCGCGGGAGGGAGAGAAGGAGGAGAGGGTTGAAGGGATGGGAAAGGGGGAGAGAAAGAGAAATCGTGGTCGATTTATTCCAGATTCTTAGAGATGATTGTTCTTTATGTCGGATCTGAATCGGAATAAGAGAAAGACTCGCATTCTCAAAACGATTTATTCGTTTTATTTCTCATTCAGACAATTTACCACACAAGAGTTAATTAGTTAATTTCTTCTATGTGAGATAATTGCATGTGGTATGCGGACCGAATTGTAAAATTTTTACGGTTGTTATTGTTCCGGCAGGACACGTTTGGATGCGACAGCTGAATAATAACGTTCGCAGATATTCATATTTTATTATAATGAGCAATTCCATTATTCTCTCTTCTCGCGCAATATTAATAACGCATGCATAATTAGGTTGCGCGTGCATACGTATTTCAGGAAAGCCACGTCGAGAATTAATAATAACAGATATTTAACATTGTGTAGCATGAACTTTGCATGAATTCCGTTCTTTTTAACAATATCCGTACATAAATACCGGACGTAAACGTTACGATTATCCTGCACAACCGTCTGTGTTCTAACCTGTAGAATTTCGTGAAAGTAGGTATATAGAATCGGAACAATGATTATTACGATGCTATCTAAAATGCGACGGTGAAATCTATAAAAAGCGAGCGATATGAATTCACAGCAACCACGCTCTAAAAACATATCTTAAAATATAATTGTCTTAATTTTTCACACACTCTGTTTCTCACATTTATTTGTTGAATTTAACATACTTACTATACACCTTTTTCCAGAAAAATAAAGATAAATTTATAATAAATGAAGCTGTGTAAAGCCATACAAAAAGTCCGAAAAAGCCTTTTCTTCATCATGATAATGGAGCAACGAAACATTTTGTTTATGACGAGAAAGTTAACGCAGCCTTTAAACGCATAAGGGGTATTCAAATAAGTTAAAGTTTAATGGTTTGACAGGTTATGTCGGGTTAAAGTCGAGTAAAAAGTTAATTAATTAACTTTGGGCGCGCTACTCTTTAAGGTTATGCAAAATACATAA